CCCCGGGGGAGAGACCCTGCGCCCCCCCCCCCCCCTCCTCCTCCTCACCATTCTGCCCAGATTTTACCTTGAGGTCCCTGCTTCATGGGACCTATTAGAAAAAAAATTAAATCGTTATTTTTCATTAATTCTTTTATAGCTGGGGGGGATGCGCTGACCGGTCATAGGGACCGTGGCCAGCATGTTTGTCCGTGTCTGTGTGTCTTCGGGGAGCGCGAGGAGCCCCCATCGCTCTCCAAGCAGTAGACGGTCGAATTGCATCTCTGCCGCGTGATGGACACGGTGATTTATGAGCTCCCTTCGCCGGCGCCGCTGGAGGTGGCAGGAGGCGTGGGGTGAAGTCTGGACCCAGCTATTCCCGGAGCAGCCGGCAGCAGGGCCAGCCCTCGCCGTGAGCAGCTCGCGTTGGCCGATGCGGTCGCATTGCAGGCACCTCCAGCCATAAACTGCCAGGTTGGTACTCGAAGAAGGGTTTTGCTAAGACAGGCTGTGACCGAGAGGCGGTTTCAGGTTTAAAGCTGCACAAGTAAGCCCAAGCGACAGATGTGGGGTTTTTGTGGGTTGGTATGAAACGCCGGGATGCGCAGGGCGGAGGTTTTCATTTTAGGCCAGGGTTTTCTTTGCAGCCGTACTGGGTGTTACTCACCCGTCTGCTCTCCTGCATGAGTCAGCTCAAAGAGCTGCCATCATGAGACTGAACTGGAAACCGGTATTTCAGCACCCTCCTTGCTCAAGGGCTGTCACCGTGCTGCTGAGAGGGGCCCCAACGGGACGTGAAGAGACCCACGTAACGGCGAGCAGGAGCGGGGACTCGTTCCCGCCGGCGGGGGCTGCTGGATCTCACGCCTCAGGGCGCAAACGGACTGGGATCCATCTCTGCCGCGTCCTCCCAGCCGCCCGCCTGCCATTGCCTACACATTACCGACGGTCTCCGGATACTGGAGCACAAGGTATCAGCTTGGGCTCCATTGACAAGCTCGCTTCAGCAAATCCCATCTTTCTAAACCTTTCCTTTCCCTTGCTCAAGTTCAGTCTCTCCTCCTCCTCTTCCATGTACTTTGCTCCGTAAGGGCTGGGCTCTGGCCGGGACAC